GGTGTGCGCGTCCGCTCAGCAAGATCGGCGATCTTGCATTCTTTTAGCGACCGCGTGGGTGACCGTGAGTGCTCCCTCAGGTCGCGCCGTCGAGGTCCGAGCTCTCCTCGATCAAGGTTCAGAGGTAACCTTCGTGACTGAACGACTCGCGCAAGCGTTGTACTTGAAGCGGCTCCGAATGCCGACTTCAATCTCCGCCGTCGGCGGCGTCAAGGTTGGAACATGCCGACACGCCGCACATGTTACGATATCTCCGCGGAGTGCGTCGACTCCTAAGCTCTCGACCACTGCGTTGATCCTCAATACTTTAACGGCGTATTCGCCGAAACGCCTTCCCGCGGAATCAGTCCTCGACCAGCTCCAGGATCTCTCGTGGGCAGACAACGACCCCATGAGCTCGGCGCCCATAGATATTCTGCTCGGTGCGGACTTGTACGGCGATATAATTTTGAGCGGGCTTCGCAAAACGACGGTCGGACGGCCTATCGCGCAGGAGTCGATTTTTGGTTGGGTGATCTCCGGGCCCGTCTCATGTCCCGAACTCTCGTCTCAAACCAAGTCAGACGAAAAGAGTGCAGGGCGCATCTGCGCTCAAATTACCTCACTTCATTGCTCCCACGATCTGTCGCTAGATCGAGAACTCAGACAGTTCTGGGAGGTCGAGGAAGTTCCTCAACATACCGCGTACGGTCCTGAGGAGGAGAGATGCGAGGATCACTTTCGCTCCACGCACTCTCGTCTCTCAGACGGCCGTTACGTTGTCCGGCTTCCGTTCCGAACGAGTCCGCCCATCGCGATCGGCGAATCGTATCGCATAGCAGAGACGCGTCTCAATGCATTGCTCCGACGCCTTCGGACGAACGCGGATCACGAAAAGGAATATTCCGAATTTCTTCAAGAATATGAAAACCTCGGGCATATGCAAAAGGTGACAAATCCCCGATCGCCAGACACTCAATGCGTGTTCATTCCACACCATCACGTCATCCGCGATCATAGTTCGACCACGCATTTACGTGTCGTTTTTAACGCGTCCAGTGCCACTACAAACGGCTCCTCCCTTAATGATCATCTCCTGGCCGGACCAAAGCTACAAACGGATCTCCCCGCGATTATTCTGCAATGGCGTC